GATTTCAAAACTGTTCAATTGGTACATTTGCCTTGAAGTGATTAGTTTATGAGATATCTCACTCACCTTAAATGACTGTAACAAAATAATTGTAGCCTAATTTACCGCTTTTAAATGTTTAACAGTACTATTTGTAGTACCTTCGAATATGGACATTCATTTTAATCGGTTAATAGCCAGTGACAATTTGTTATAATTTTTAACAAACTATTTTGATATGTGTGCAATTTGATCGGTAAAATGGTTTATACTTTGCAAGAAAGAATTTAAATTGTAGGTTTTTACTACAAAAATAATAATTATACAAGAACTGCTGCTAAAATTTTTAATCAAATACACAAAAAGTTAGAGGAACAGGGTCAGTTTGCAATAAAAAACGTAACCGACAGGGACTTGTAAATAATGAAGCAATCCAAGTTGCCTTACAGGGCAAGTTAACTTAGAGGCTGAGCAATTACAGTCACTGTCAACAACAAGCAGAGCAAGCAGAGTTTCATCTCTAGCCTTCCGAGTCCTCCATAAAGTTAAGATAATAAATTTAAGACTTAAATGAAGAAGATTTTGATCGTTGTCTCGAGTTTTGCGAATTAATGACACAATGAATTTTATTATGAATGGATTTATGCTTAATTTTATTAAATGGTTTGGTGAACTGACATAATTGCCGATACTAAGTTGAGAGTGATCCACAGATTGTGCGTGAATTTCACACACAGCATTCTCAAAGATTAAACGTATGTTGTTGTATCCTAGGTTTATCATTACAAGACATAGACATTATCAGACCTTTCTTTAGTACTGAAAACTTAATGGTGCATCTTATCTTGAGTTACTTAGACAAGTAGTTGATCGTATTAAAACAACAGTGAAAATTGATAATAATATTTTCGAAGATTTGGTTGTATTTCAAGATGATGGAGCACCACTTCACACTTAGCTTTACCTGTGCTACAATTTTTAAATCAATCTTTTCCCGCTGGTTGGATGGGTAAAAAAAGACAGATGATGGATTGGCCACCTAGGTCACCGAATTTAACACCCCTAGACTTCTTCTTATGGGTATATTTAAAAACAAAAATTTATGCTACTCAACCAGAATCTCTGGATGATTTACAACAAAGAATAGAGGTGAATGTCGACAATTAAAGTGCAGACGTGTTGAGCAGTTTCAGAGAAGAATTTCAAAACAGATTGTACTATTGTATGGAAGTTAATGGCAGTAATTATGAACAATTATTGTAAAAATTTTTGGTAGGAAAATGTTGAGTCTAAATGTTTCTAATAAAATAGTTAACATCTTTTTTTAATTCAGTTTTATTGCTTTTGTATTTATTTTTCCCATAAACTAATCACTTAAATATCATGTATTATACAATTCTGAACTCAGTACAAAGGAGAATCCAAATATCAAATAAAAAAGGCGGAAGTAATTTAAAAATAATTAAGTGATAATACGGGGGTTAAGAGTATGCCTTTCCCAGCAAGCTTAAATATGACATAATGTCTCCTCCTTCAAATATTAATTTACGTGTTTTTGCGAAGCTTCTAAAAATTAGAAGTTATTTAAGGTGGACAGTTTTATCTGAAAAGCACTGTACATTGTACATTATGGTACTTAGTAAATATTTTAAATAGGTAAAGAAATAATAATAAGACTTACTCACAATCAATTTAATTTAACAATCTGACGACCGGTTTCGATTTCTACAATTTGCAAAGCATCTTCAGGTCTAGATACAAAGTTAAACTAATGCTGCAATAAAATAAACCCAATTAGGGTGGTGTCTAATAAAGATAAAATAAATAAATAAGTTAGTTCATACAAATTATAGTAATTATGCCAATATTACATGTCTGTGGTTTTCAAAATGAATAAATTTGAATATATAAAAGGTATTAACAGACAAGGTAAGACCCATAATTGGTATAAAGTAGTAATATTATATTGTAATAAATTAATAAATGAGCAGATAAATAAAACAAAACAAACATTACTTACATGCCGGTACTCTATTAATTGATGGATGGTAGGTCAGGGTTGCAAAAATCATGTATTGTTGATTGGAGAACTTTAATGTGCTATTGCAGTTGTTTTGCAGTTGCATCTATTGAGAACAGTCAAAAGAAGAAAAACCAGTTATTTAGGGCATTTGTTGCGCAACGAGAAATACTACATCCCTCAGTTGATAATAAAAGGCAAAATAGAAGGAAAGCGAGGAATTGGAAGAAAAAAATTGTCCTGGTTACGCAATATCAGAAACTGGACAGGACTTGGATTTGAGGAACTCTTAAGAGCAGCTGAAGATAGAAAAACGTTTGCCACCATAACCGCTAACCTCCATTGATGGAGACGGCACTTGAAGAAGAAGAAGCAGTTGTTTTGACAATAAACGGGAAGTTCTTGAGGAGAACAGATTTGATCCAATGAATTAGAGATAGGTATATTGTGGTTGTTTGTCAGATGAAAGTGATGTTCTTTACTATTGTATTATTTAAATTATTTACACTTATATCAGAGATATATTTTTGGAATATGTGTTATTTATTGAGTATTTATGTAATGAAGGAGACAGTTTTATGACAATGAATAAGAATAGCTGTACCGATTGTGTGGTTGTGCAATTATTTTGACTTGTAATTATCAAGTCTATTGGCAAAATTAATCAATTATTGTAAAGTCAATTATGTAAAATGTATATAAAAAGTATATAAAATTATTACAAATTAAGACAATCGGGGACAAATTAAACACACATTAACAGGAACAGAAACACTAAATGACGGGACAAACATTGAATTTAAAACTTAAACTTTGGGGAATGGAAGAAACTGCCAGCACTACATCTCACTGTTGGAAATAATGAGTTTTTTCATATTTAATCTATTAGATTTAAGAGGTAAATTTGACATATGTAGGTTGAAGTGTGACAGTTCTTCTTCTATTACTAAATACTGTAAGTTTAGTTATTCAGTATTATGGAGTATTTTGATATTAATGAATGTCTCAAAATTTGTTTTAATTTAGTAATCAAAAGTAAATTGTTGTGTTTAATATTGGCATACTTTAACAATTTTAATTAATAAGTTTCAAATTCAAAAAATTTTCTCAATGTAACAATGTGAATAATTGAAATACATCATCTGTTATAACTAACCAATTTTAGTCTGAATTTTTCAGAACAAATTAAAATGATTATTTAGTAAATACAAACAAGTGTACTTGTAATTGAAAGGTATAACAAATTTACAAATTGCCTAAAAATTTTTTATTTGAAATAATTGTCGGTCTGAGCTATCTGTTATGGTGTAGAAACATTTCTTAAAAATATTTAATTTAAATTATAATAATATTTATTATATTAATAATAATAAATTATAATATAATTTATGACATTGTCATAAATTAGTTTTGCCAACTAATTATTCAAGACTTAAGTCAGTCAATTACTCGAACTCAAAAATTTGAAAAATCATCAATATTCACCCAATTACTACTTTATTTAATTATTAATTATTATAATTTAAATTAAATATTTTTAAGAAATGTTTATACACCATAACAGATAGCTCAGACCGACAATTATTTCAAATAAAAAATTTTTAGGCAATTTGTAAATTTGTTATACCTTTCAATTACAAGTACACTTGTTTGTATTTACTAAATAATCATTTTAATTTGTTCTGAAAAATTCAGACTAAAATTGGTTAGTTATAACAGATGATGTATTTCAATTATTCACATTGTTACATTGAGAAAATTTTTTGAATTTGAAACTTATTAATTAAAATTGTTAAAGTAGGCCAATATTAAACACAACAATTTACTTTTGATTACTAAATTAAAACAAATTTTGAGACATTCATTAATATCAACATACTCCATAATACTGAATAACTAAACTTACAGTATTTAGTAATAGAAGAAGAACTGTCACACTTCAACCTACATATGTCAAATTTACCTCTTAAATCTAATAGATTAAATATGAAAAAACTCATTATTTCCAACAGTGAGATGTAGTGCTGGCAGTCTCTTCCATTCCCCAAAGTTTAAGTTTTAAATTCAATGTTTGTCCCGTCATTTAGTGTTTCTGTTCCTGTTAATGTGTGTTTAATTTGTCCCCGATTGTCTTAATTTTTAATAATTTTTTATACTTTTTATATACATTTTACATAATTGACTTTACAATAATTGATTAATTTTGCCAATAGACTTGATAATTACAAGTCAAAATAATTGCACAACCACACAATCGGTACAGCTATTCTTATTCATTGTCATAAAACTGTCTCCTTCATTACATAAATACTCAATAAATAACACATATTCCAAAAATATATCTCTGATATAAGTGTAAATAATTTAAATAATACAATAGTAAAGAACATCACTTTCATCTGACAAACAACCACAATATACCTATCTCTAATTCATTGGATCAAATCTGTTCTCCTCAAGAACTTCCCGTTTATTGTCAAAACAACTGCAATAGCACATTAAAGTTCTCCAATCAACAATACATGATTTTTGCAACCATGACCTACCATCCATCAATTAATAGAGTACCGGCATGTAAGTAATGTTTGTTTTGTTTTATTTATCTGCTCATTTATTAATTTATTACAATATAATATTACTACTTTATACCAATTGTGGGTCTTACCTTGTCTGTTAATACCTTTTATATATTCAAATTTATTCATTTTGAAAACCACAGACATGTAATATTGGCATAATTACTATAATTTGTATGAACTAACTTATTTATTTATTTTATCTTTATTAGACACCACCCTAATTGGGTTTATTTTATTGCAGCATTAGTTTAACTTTGTATCTAGACCTGAAGATGCTTTGCAAATTGTAGAAAGCGAAACCGGTCGTCAGATTGTTAAATTAAATTGATTGTGAGTAAGTCTTATTATTATTTCTTTACCTATTTGATATGGACTCACACAAGCAACACATTCATGATTTAAATATTTTAACTTAATTTTAGGTGGATATGGACTTATCGTCTACAGCCTAAGGGAAGACAGGTCTTGGAGAATAACCCACAACTATTTCTACTTGGAACCTCTTGCTGGAGAGTTCCATATTTCCGGCCACCGTTTTCAATGGAACGACGGTATATTCAGTGTTGAACTAACTAAAGTTAAACCAGATGGAAATAGGGACTTGTATTTCCATTCCATGGCAGGAACTCACATGTATCGAGTACCGACTAATATTGTAAAGAACCATACATTAGCTACGAGATCGTATCATGGGGATGATTTTATGGTAAATTAAAAAATAATTGTTTGGTAATTATTAAAATTTTCTGAACAGGTTAAAAGACTGCTATATGTCTTTCATTAGATTACATTAAAAATTAGGAAGAAACCCTACATTTTCCATGAGTGTTTCTGGCTAGCATTAACGTAGTTACTACCGTTTATTGGTTATTCGTTATATTTTGTTGATTTTAAGTAAGCCTTGAGTATAATATAGCCCCAAGATACTTTATTTTACTTACCAGATTTCTTCTTCTTCTTCAAGAGACATCTACGCGGTTAAGGTCGGCAATCATCAAATCTATTCGGACTTTTCAGACGGCTGCTCTAAAAAGTTCATCTCTTGAATGTAATTATTTTTGGACTTAATCATTGTTCCCAGATATGCATATTTGTCCACTTGTTAGATGTTGGTTTCGTTTATTAAAAGATTCTCGTTATTTTTTTGAGTTTTCAATAATCTCATAAATTTCGTCTTCTTGACATTCATTGTTAGATCATACCATTGACCATACTCTTTTTCAAACTCCGCTATTCTGGTCACCAGTCTCTGAAGATTCTAAACATTTTCGGCTAAGATCACAGTGTCGTCCGCATATCTAATGTTATTAATGGGAACTCCATTTACCTTTATTCCAGGTGTTTCACCCTCAAGAGCGTTTTTCAGGATCTCTTCGGAGTAGGCATTAAAAAGAATTGGCGACAATACGCATCCCTGTCATCAATATATTTAGATGGGTACCGGATCTAAAGATCCAGTCCCTATAAATTCTTTCTTCTAATTATTTGCATGATTTTGGACTTCTGGGTGCTTATGTTAATTCCTAAATTTTAAATCCATTCTATAACTACAATCAGAGCCTCTTGTTTTCTATCTCTGACTGTGCCATTAAATTTGCAGTGGGCTACGATGACCAGGTTATCCGCAAATCTTGATATTAATTTGATTCTCTTGACTGTTGAGGATTTCAGCGTGGTTTGTTAGTATTTTAGCAGTTATATCCACAGTTTTGATATCAGACAGATACTTACAATTGATATAAGGTTCTCTCTCCAGTTACTGACAAAGAATGTAGAGCGTAGAACCATTTTAATTATTTTTAAACTGTTTGTCCTTGTTTTACTGTAGTGTTTTGTACAATTTTATGTTAAAATTCATGTTTATCACATTATACGCTTGCTGGATAGCCCTAACTTGACGAAATGCCCCTGAAGATGCTGTTGTAAGCGAAAGTACTTGGACAAAATTTAATTGTTAAAATTGTGCTCGATATTTGCCTTTCATTTTCAAAGACACTTACAAGACTAGTCTTCTTCTTAGTACGTTGGCCATTACATTTGCCCATTTAATCTTATTTGTAGCAGCCCTGAATAGTTCTATGGAGGTCATGTTCGTCCATTGCCGTAGGTTTTTAAGCCAAGAGTTGCGTCTTCTTCCTGGTCCACTTTTGCTATTGACTTTACCTTCGATTATAAGTTGGAGCAGTTCATACTTTTGATTTCTTATGATGTGACCAAAATATTTTATTTTCCGTTCTTTTATTATAAGCATAAACTCACTTTCCTTATTCATCCTCCGCAAGACTTCCGCATTTGTCGTATGGCTCTTGTAGGATATTCTGAGCATTTTACGGTAACACCAAAGTTCGAATGCTTGGATTCTTCTTTGTGTTGTTTCTGTCATTGTCCAGCCTTCAACACCATAAAGCAAGGTGGAGAAAACATAGCATTTAAGTATTCTAGTTCTCAATGAGATGCCCAGCTGGTGGTTGCATAGATCTTTTTGCATTTTGTAAAACATTGTACGTGCCTTTTTTAGGCATATTCTTATTTCTAGTGAGTGGTCCCAAGACTAGACTAAGTCTGCTTAATTATTTTCAAGTGCTTAATAAGTATATCGATATTTTTTTATCCTAAATTAAACCAGAGTCTTTCAATCACAGTTAAAAAGCCCACTATTTACACATTTTATAACAGCAAGGGAACAATAACAGACAATAACTGAGTAATGTTAATAGATTTACCCGAGAAATTAAGAATATACTTACTTACTCCGTGGCGTTACAACCCTTCGTGGGTTTTAGCCGACTCGACAACATGCCTCCACTGTTTTCTGTCTTGAGCAACCTCCATCCAATTCTTCACGCCCATAGTCCTTAGGTCTCCTGTTATATTATCTCGCCACCGAAGACGAGGGCGTCCGCGTGGTCTCCTTTAAGTTGGGACTTCCTTCCACACCAGTCTTACTGTTCGTTCGTCAGAATGTCTTCTGAGGTGTCCTGCCCATTGGAGTCTTCTGAACTTTATTTCTTTTATGATGTTGGCGTCTGGGTAAAGTTCTTCAAGCTCTTTATTAGTTCTTATCCTATATTGTCCTGATGCTTCATCAAGCACCGGACCAAAGATCTTCCTTATTATTTTTCTTTCCTATACACGTAGTCTCTCTTCATTTGCCTTTGTTATCGTCCACGTTTCTCTTCCATACATCACAACGGGTTGTATGATTGTTTTATAGACCTGTATCTTCGTACGTCGTGTTAGTTGTTTTGATTTTATAAGGTTTTAGAGGGCAAAAATACATCTGTTGCCGGCCTGAATCCTGTTGTTTATTTCTTGTGATCCGTAACTGTCTTCAGTTATTGTTGTTCCAAGATACTTGAATTCTCTAACGCGCTCAAAGTTAAAGTCATCGATGGTAATGTTCTGACCGATTCTGTCTCTGCTTTGGTTATTGCGGCTCATATACATATATTTCGTCTTGTTTTCGTTGATTTGGAGCCCCATCTTCTCTGCTTCCTTCTCAAACCTTACGAAAGTCTCCTTCATCCTTAATCGCGTGTTTCCTATTAGATCTATATCGTCTGCAAATGCCAGTAGTAAGTTTGGTCCTTCTCGATGAAATACTGTATTCGGTTTTTCGATTCTTGCACTTCTGATTATGTGCTCCAGAGCTAAGTTGAAGAGTTGTGGTGAAAGTGCATCTCCCTGTTTTAGTCCATTGTTTATTTCAAATGTCTCCGAGTATTGTTGTCCAACTTTCACCTTACATCGTGTCCGTTCCATACACATCCGTATCAACCGGACTAGTTTTTTTGGAAAGCCAAGTTCCTGCATCGCTGTCCACAGTCTGTCCCTACATACTCTATCAAATGCTTGTTTAAAATCTATGAACATCTGATGAAGCTCACGATCAAACTCCCAGCATTTTTCCATTATCTGTTTTATTGTGAATATCTGGTCAATTGTAGAGCGGCCCGGTCTAAATCCGCATTAATAATCTCCAACGATTTCTTCTGTGTATGTTTTGGTTCTTTCTAGCAGGATATTTGAAAGGATTTAGTAGGTGGTGTTTAGGAGTGTTAATCCCCTGTAGTTAATACATTGCTTTTTGTTTCCTTTTTTGTGTATTGGTACAATAACCCATTCTTTCCATTCATCTGGCATTGTTTCTTCTTGCCAAATGTCTTGAATTAGCTTGTATATCGAACTGTACAACGCTTCCCCTCCATGTTTTAAGCACTCTGCGGGTATACCATCGCTACCTGGTGTCTTATTATTTTTGAGTTTTTTAATTGCCTGTATTACTTCTTCGTATGTCGGGTATTGGTCTTCTATTTCAGCTGTATGTACCTCTATGTTTGATGTACTTCTGCTAGATTGGTCATTCAATAGTTGATAGAAGTATTCCTTCCAGGTTTTTAAGATTTCCTTATCATCAGTGATAAGCTGTCCACTGTCGTTTTGAAGAAAGTTTCCTGTTCTTGCTTGGTACCCGGTCTTGATATCTGAAACTCCTTTAAAGAACTGCCTCGCTTGTTTGTTCTTTCTTTTTTCTTCTATATCTCTGATTATTTGTTCCTGATACTCTCTCTTCTTCCTTTTCATTAGTTTTCTTGTCTCTGTTCTTCTTTGTCTATACATTTCATTGTTGTTGTGCGAGGGGTTTTGTAGCATGTTGCTTCTAGCCATATTTCTTGCTAATATGGAGTTCATGCAATCATCATCGAACCATTTTTTTGTTGTTTTCTTTTTGTGTCCTAGTATTTCATCTGACACGCTTGTCAGAGCTACTTTGATATTTTTCCAAGCTAAGTCTATGTTGTTATAGTCTTCTGTCTGTGCTAGAGCGATTTTTATAGCCTTTTGAAATTTCTGTTCTGTCTCCTTATTACGTAGAACTTCGGTATTCCATAATTGTGTTGGTGTATTCTTGTGTGTTTTTTTGGGCGCTATTCTTGTCCTTATCTTCGCTTTTACAAGAAAATGATCCGTGTCTCCATCAGCTCCTCTTAGGCTTCTTACGTCTAGACAGTTACTACCCCTCCTGGCATCTACTAGAACATGATCAATCTGATTTCTTGTGACGTCGTCGTTGGAGACCCATGTTTGTTTGTGTATATTCTTGTGTTCAAACATTGTCGATTTTATTAGTAGATTGTGGGATGCTGCAAAGTCTATTAGCCTTGTTCCATTATCGTTGCTGACATCGTGAAGACTATGGTTACCTATTGTTGGTTTGTACGCTGCTTCCTTCCCAATCTTTGCATTGAAATTAAGTAAGAATTAATAAGTAAATTAATTAAGAATATACGAAGAGTATATATAAGTAAGAAAACTTTTCCAAGATGAAAGAGGTGAAATCCAAGAGATGAAAGAATTAAATTATTTAGAAAAACAGGAGATCACGATAGATGAAATCATCATTACATTTTCTTCTAATATCTTTATTTCTCTTTCGATCTCTCAGCGTATTTCCTATAATTCTTCTCAGTACTCTCAACTCTGCTGTTTCCAGTAGCCCTTGTATTGAAGCTGTATCGGGTCTTGTTTCTGCGGCATATATCATTATTGGTCTTACACTGGCTTTATAAATTCTTCACTTTATCTCAGTCTTAATGTATCTGTCATGCCATATAGTGTTATTAAGGTATCCTGCCAGTCTATTTGATTTTTGTACTTGATCTCTCAGTTCTTTGTCCAGCTCTCCATAACTGGAAAGTGTAATTTCAAGGTATTTTATTTCCATTAAGTACTTGTTCAATACTGATGCCAATAATTTCTATTTTATATCTGGTTGGTTCTTTGCTAATTAACATTGTTTTAGTTTTCTGAGATGAGCTGGCCAGATTAACTTCTTTTGCTCTTATGTTAAATCTGTGGACCAGTCTCTGTAGACTATCTTCATCTTGCGCTATCAATATTGCATCGTCTGCGTAACCGAGTATTTTTACTTTTTTGTTTGCCATTATGTACATTCTTCCTTTGTAATTGTTGTACAAATTTTCTGTGTACTCATAGGGCGACTCCTTCTTTGGCTCTGGTTTCTTTGGCAACAGCACTATAAAAGATCAGGTAGTCGTCCGGCATAATTTGACCATTTATTTTTTTCTTCGTCTCTTGTAGTGCACATATGTCTATATTTTTTTCTGCAAGTTATTTTGTAATTTTCTGCTCTCTTGTGCTTAGAGACTTTACGTTCTAAGTACCGATGCGAAGTGTATTTTTTGTTTTCCATAAATTCGTTGTCCTCTTTCTCATGTTACTTGTCGTAATAAAATGATTTCTGTTTCGACGTATAATCCTGTTTCTATGAGCTGTATGGATTTTAAGTTTATTAGTCGTAATAGAACAAGTGCAAAGATATCAGTACTTATAAACTTTTATCAATGAAACCAATAATCAAACTTTAAAAATAAACAGGTGAATAGAGATTGCTAGATCAGCAATTATATGAATGAAGCCACTCTTACCGTGCAGAAATCCTAATTTAGAAATCAGATTACGTAGCATTAGATGTTATATATTTTTAATATTATTATATTCTGGTATATCGCCGAGTATAAAAAATATTATGGATTAATAGAATTGCAAATAAAGAAGTAATAAAGAGGGTTTGTAAGTAAACAGAACTAATTACTACCTTACGAACCAGAAAACTGAGGCTACTTGATGAGGGGACCAAAATATGAAATTTTGAGACTGATAATACAGGGAAAGATTGAAGGAAGAAGATCTGTTGGTCAAAATCACATTTTTTTATTCAAAAATCTACGTGATTGAAATCAATGTACATTGATTGGTTTGTTTAGAGCAGCAAGTTCAAAAATAAAAATAGCCCTTATGATTGCCAACCTCGTAGGTAGAGGGCACTATAAGAAAAACAAGAAATTTTTTATCAGTTTAAAAAATCTATATCTTAAAAAAATATCTATTTAATTATGTACATAAACTAAAAGTATTTTGTTTTCAGAATCTTGGAGATCGAGGAGCCGGATCTCAGACTTCTTCTGCAGATATCCACAAACCCACAAGTATTATGTTCCTAGGTTTAGTCAACCAAAATGCCTTAGGTTGTTGGAACATCAACAAACCATTAAATACCATTTCTGTAGTACAGAAAGATGACGCTAAGATGATCTATCCTTGTGATGTAAAAGTAAGCAACGACAAAGTCTACGTCTTGACTAACACCATGCCAGAATTTTTGTACGGAGCTCTGAACTATGACCAAATTAACTTTAGGGTCTGGTCGAACACTATAAGCAATGCAGTAGCAGGAACTCAATGTGCGAGTGGGGACAGCGCACCCATTACTTATGCCGGTCCTGCCAACTATGCCCAAGCTGGATCATATGCAGGAACGAAGTCAAGAGGACCGTTCAGAGGATATTAGCGGATTTATTGATATTTAAGAATATGTGACTGTACTTTTATAGATGTTTGTAATTTTTAGATGAAAAAGAAAAAAATAAAATAAATTTAAGAATATAATATTTTGTAACAAAATCTGAAACCTAGGATATGGAATGAAGAATACTAAATTTACGCCTTAAACACTTTTAGAAATTAATATTGAGAATGTTTAAAATGCATTAAAATAGAATGGAAAATGAAAAAACTTCTGAGGATGACGGAATAAAAAAAGAAATGATTACAGTTGGAGCTCAAACTACTTTGGAGGCAATTAATCTAAATGAAATTTCTTTGAACTCCTCTTTGAAAGTGCTACTCTAACCTCTTGGGAAAATGCGCAGGTACTTTTACTACACAAGTAAGACGACAACCACAAATTTGACAATTATAGACCAATAAGCCTGTTACAGGAACAACTTTATAAATCCTGCAATAAACGCGCGCACTTGATTCGCAGTAAAATTACTCGAAATTATCTTAATAAGAGAAGTAAGCTCGAGCTTTAAACTAGGTTTAAAAATTAGGTAGACGAGACCCGGCGTTCAACCATTTTTTTCCCCGAATAGTTTTTTCTATCTGCTTTCTGCGCTGGTGTACAAAAGACGAAGAGCAAAAGATAAAGTTCTTAGAGAGAGAGAGAGAGAGAGAGAGAGAGAGAGAGAGAGAGAGAGAGAGAGAGAGAGAGAGAGAGAGAGGGAGAGAGAGAGGGAGAGAGAAAGAGAGGGAGGGAGAGAGAGAGAAAGAAGTTTATTGTTATTAAAATGAGATTACATTTATAAAACACAACATGGTATAGTACAAACAAGGTACAATATATTAAAATACTAATTATAAAATTTTCATAATTAAAAAATATATATCAATTAGCGCAACTGTCTTCAAAAAATTCCTCTATACTAGTGGATTCCTACCACTCGATCTTATGTCGAGTGGTAAGTGATTAAACACTTTCTTACCAGTGTAAATAAATGATTTTTTAGTTAATGTAGAAGAGGAAATTGGAAGTGGAATAACATAATTAGCTTTAACGCATAGTACTATGTTTTCTGTATTTTTAAAATTTAAACATTATTTTTAAAATTTAATACAGTAATTTTTTTATTAGCGACGGATCTGTACAGTTTTACAAGAATAGGTATATTACATGGTTACAACAAATATTTTTTTACAAAATAGTACTAAAAAAACGTCAGCAATTTTATACAAAAAAAGTTAAATCTTATGGAATACATCGATAGCTTTTAAATAATCTATTAAGTTCTTTGAATAACTATTTTGACCTAACACAACTGATAAATTTGAATCTACCTATATTATAAAGAGCTTGTTAATGTTTGAATTCGTCGCATTCAAATATATGTTTTACTGTTAAGGTTGAATTGCAGCGTTCACATATTGGTGGGTTACATTTTGAAAAAAGGTACTAAGAGTGTCTAAGTCTAGTATGGCCTAATCATAATCAGTTAACTACACTCTGTTTATGGCAATTTTTGTAAAAAGGTTTAGTTACTTTAACTGTCTTGTTTGCCGTAGTTTAGACGTTGATATTTGCCATTCGTTATGCCAGACATTTGCCAAGATTTTTGCCAATAAAAAGCTTTAAGTCATCTGGACCGCACTTTAATAGTATTTCTGAGTCCGCACTAGACACTGCACTACGCGTACTTAAGTATGCTTCTTTATTTCCGAGAATACCCACATGAAAAGAAATCCATATAAAGTCAACTGTTCTTTCTTTTTCTTGGCATGTCTGAGGTTCTGATTTAATCATTTTTTTGTTCGATTAATTGCTCGATAAAGAGCGAATAATTCGGCTGTGTATATGCTACAGTACGGAGATAGTTGAAATAGATATTTAATTGAATTGATCACAAAAGCGGCACCAACTCCATTGCAAGATTTTGAAGGACCTGTAAATATTTTGGAGAAATTTTCATAAGTTTGGAGCATATTTGTCAAAATAGTTTTTATTTCTGAGGGACGTATTTTCGACTTATTATATTTGCTCAAATATACATTACACTGTGGATATTGATTGACAATATGAGATATAAGGATCGGTGATGTTTGGATCGATTATGCTAGGAAAATTAAAGTTTAATTTACAATATGTTCTAATTCTTGGCTTAAAGGCTAAAGGGATGGCTCATCAAAGTTAGGACATATGCTCTCAAAAAATGTACTTCTAAATGCTCGTAGTGCAATTCTTAGACCATTAATATGAATTGTATCTAGAGATTTTAAAATAGACTTTCTCGCAGTACAATAAACGATGCATCCTTAATCGAGTTTAGACCTGATTAACGAGTTGTATACTGATAATATTGTATTTTGGTCCGAACCCAATTTCTTGTTTGATAATGTTCTTAAAATATTTATTCTCTTATGCCAAGTTAATTGTAATTGCTTTATATGTTTTCGTTAGTTCAGTTTGTTGTCTAAATGCATTCCTAAAAATTTAATGTGAGGATCTACTGTTATTCGTTTCACGTATAACGTAAGACTTGATGCAGTACTTACATTTGCTCTTTTTGCAAAAACCATGACTCTTGTCGTTGTAGTAGAAAATTCAAAACCAGTATTCAGAGACCATGTTTCCAGTTTATTGATAATGCTTTGTAAATACTTTATCATACAATCTATATTTTTTCCTTTTGTAAATATCACTAAATGGTCAGCATAAATCCATGCTTATAAAGGTTTTTCCATATTTTTTAAAATATCATTAATCGCTATTGGGAAGAGTGTTGGGCTAAGAACAGACGAACGATAAACAGTGTCCCCGGATATTCCACTCATACAACGTTTTTAGAATACTGTGTTTCCTGGCAGTATTAAAGGCATTTTTAAAGTCAAAAAATATCGCGGTACATTTTCTATTAGAATATATAGAATAATATCAGCCGTTGATCGATTCTGCCTAAATCCATTTTGTTCAGTAAACAGTAATCGATTTTGTTACAATGTCCATACTAATCTTCTGTTAACGATTTTATCTATAAGTTTGCATAAGGAACAAGTAATTGAAATTGGTCTGTATAATTCCACACTATATCGTGATTTTTTTGTCTTTTAAAAGAGGTAGGGTGTAGGAATTAGTCCATATTGAAAGAAAATGCTGTTGCGTCCATATAAAATTAAATATGTTAAGTAAATGATATTTGGCTGAGTCCGGAAGACGTTTTAGAAATATGGTTATGATATAATCGGGTCTGGACAAGAATCTTTAAGGCTTAAAAGTGCTGAATTAAGTTCTTGAAATTTAATGCCACTATTAATTTCTACTTTAGAATTTTCATTATTAGGAAGAGGATAGGTATCAGATGAAGAATATGAGAATTTGCACGTGGATTTTTGTCGTCTGAGAGGCTTTCGTAAAAATCCGCTAGAACGTTTGCAATATCTGGAAGACGACTGTAAAGATATCTCATTGTGGACTATCAGAGCTTGAACTTCTTAAAGAAATACAAAAGAAATACGTAAAGAAATCGTAAAGAAATACGAAAAATACAAGATGTTTCAGGAGGTGAATCTGAATTTGCAGAAAATAATGAGTCAGACGATGAACAATACGTACCACCACAAAATAATGATTCAAGTGACTCTGATGCTTCAGAGCAGTTAGAAAGTTTTATTGTACAAGACTCACCAATTTAGTAAACACTGCTTCTACAACTCAACAGCACAAGTCAGCTAATTTTATCGTGAATCCAAGTGCATCTAAGCCAAGTCACAAGAGAAAAATAAGTCAACAAGGAAAAACTATTTTAATCGGAGACACCGAACAATCGAAAGACGGAACAACGTGGAAAGTTATTGATTCTGGATCAGTACTACGATTTTTAGTATCTTCATAGTCATTGAATGTTTGCTCATTACAGGACGCCGCGCTCAGCACAACATTTATCGAGAGGAATCAGGTCCTACGTCGTATGCAAAAAGGAACGTGAGGAACAATTGTGTGGTAAGTGCTTGGCATCTAATAATCAACGACAGCATGTTACGTCATATAAAAGAATGTACTATTGCAGAAGCACATCGATGTTTGAAAAATGACACATGGACTATAACTTTGGAAGAACTGGAGGCTGCCCTTGCTATTATGTACGCAAGAGGAGTCTACGGCGCCAAAAATTTCCCAACCAACAGTTTGTGGTCAACAGTATGGGTTCCTCAGTTTTTTAGGCAAACTATGCAACGAGACATATTCAAGGATATTATAAAATATCTCAGATTTGACATAAAGCCAACGAGATCTGAACGATTGAAAACCGACAAATTTGCTCTAGCCTCTGCGGTTTGGAATGGATTTATAGAAAATAGTGGTTCATGTTACAAACCGAGAATAAACCTTACTGTGGACGATTAACTACTGCCTTCTAAAGCCAGGTGCCCGTTCACACAGTACATATCAAATAAGCCGGATAAGTTTGGCATAAAATTTTGGCTTTTGACATGCGTAGAATCAAAATATATTGTAAATGGTTACCCTTATACTGGCACTGATCATCTACGCAAGAAAGATACAAGTGTTGGTGAACATGTTGTTTTGCGGTTAATGGAAAATCAACTGGGAAAGGGCAAAATCGGGCAAAAGCGTAATCACATTACGACAGATTATACTTATGACTATACTTTACATCGTTAAAATTGGCTAAGGCATTGCAAAAAAAAATCAACAAGTCTTGTGGGTACTTTGAATCGCAACAAAAAGGAAGTTCCTCTAAGCGTAAAGAGTAAAAATGGAGAATGATATGTTACCCATATATTCCAGAGCGACGAAAAGATAACACTTACTGCATACCAAGGAAAGAGTCACAAAAATGTGCTTTTGTTGAGCTCATTACATCAATCAGGGGATATTGCTGTCGATGGAAATAAACTTCCTCAAACAGTAAGTTTTTATAATAAAACAAAATAAGGGGTTGATGTAGTGGACCAAATGGCGCGTCTTTATACTACAAAAGTTGCTTCAAGACGATGGCCAATGCACGTGTTTTATAACATTCTGGACTTAGGAGCAATAAATGCATGGATTATTTATAAAGAAGTTACTGGAAGTAAAATCAGTCGACGTA